TTGCATTCTGTTTTTGACATTGTCGCGTAATCTTGAGCGTCTTGTGCCCAACTACTTGTGACCCCGCATGGATGCCGCTGGCAATTGTCCAGGCCAGCTCATGCAGTCTGCATGTTTAACTTTGCAGGCTCGACCTTGGCTCCGGTCCAGGTCGGCTCCTGCCGCATCTTTGTAGACCCAGCCTTGCGTTGGCCGGCTGGGTGCGGCTCGGGCGACCCCGAACCATATGGCAACTCGCCATGTGCACTCTTGCGGCTCGTTCTGCTCGTCTCCTCACCTTCGACTCTGAAACGGGGGTTCAAAGGAGCATGTGTATAGCGAGCATAGCGAGCGTGCCGTCGGCGTCTGTGGCTCGAGACGCCGGCGCCCTATTCGCCTAGATTGGTAGTGGACTCGGCAGTCTACCATCGCACCAAAAACAAGATCTGACCAAACTTCTGAATGGTACACTATATTTCATCCACCTTCCAATCTATTACCACATGGTCCTATCCTGTTTTTTTATCATGGCGACCGCGGGATCGCGCTGCCACTGTTATTTGCAAGGTTCGCGGCTTCTGGAGCGCGCGTCCCTCGGCAGTCTTCCGCCATTCCACCGGATTCGTCGCTGGTTGTTTGGCGCCGGAGCTTCAGGATATGACTGAGGACCAAAAGGCGCCCCCCGAGCACGTAAATCATGTCAAATGCAGGGAACGCTAGTTCTTCAGCTCTGGAAGGGACGCTTTTGGGCAGCCTCCCGTGGGGCGGGCCCGCGGCTTCGGAAACGAGAGCTACAAGTAATGTGTTACGGGCTGCGGCCGCGGGGGCGCGCATGTCAGCAATCTGGAAAGGATTGTGGCATGCGCAGCGCGCGTATGTTTCACGATGTTCGAGGACGAGGCTTCTGGAGCGCAAGCGTGGCGCACTTTGCAATGGACTGTGGCTCCGGGAGCGCGAGCGGGTGCGCCGTAGTGTGAAGTGGACTGCGTCCTCGGGGGCGCGAACTTGACGTTTTGTATTCAGCTGTGTCTGTAGGAGCACGAAGTTGAGGATCTTTCAATGGATGGCGTTCTCGGGAGAGCGAGCGCGACGTAATCAATTACAGGCTGTGGCATCGCAGGCGCACTTGTCGCAAGTTTCCAAGGGATTGCGGCCTCGGGGGCGCGAGCGCGCTGTAATGTGTTTTGGCATCAGGCTTCGGGGCTATGGAAACATCGCAGTTCACAACTTTCCGCCGGCGGCTCGGCAGAGCCACTGCGCTGGCGAAAGGAAAGAAACGGGGCAGGCGTTAAGCGAATGGTACCACCACGCAAGCATCGTAGTTGACAAGGGATTGTGGCCCCAGGAGCGCGACCCAAGTGCATGTTACGGAGGGTTGTGGCCTCGCGAGCGCGGATGCGACGTCAGTTCTATACGGCTTGTGGTACCGGGGGCGCGAACACTGTTGAAAACCATCGGGAGTAATGGTTTCGGGAACGCGAGCGAGCCGCGCAAAAACATCATGGCCTCGGGAACGCGATTCTGTCATAGTACATGACGGGCGTCTGGTCTCGGGAACGCGAGTGCGATGCAATTGGTTATGGATTGTTTTCGGGAGTGCGAGCGCGTCGCAGTTTACAAACATATTGTGGCCAATGGAGCGCGACCTCGCCATCATTTACAGGGCAGGGTGGCTACATGAGCGTCCATCGGTCGCAGTCATGGGGGATTGTGACCTCGGGAGCGCAGTGAAACCCAACACTGCTATGAATTTGAACTCGTTCGGTGTCCATTGATGGCCTCCTGGCCGTGTCTTGGAAGCCTCTTTGGGCCCGTTCTGGGGATCTTCTTGGGGTTTGGGTGTTTCTTGAAGCAAGGGTGGCAATTTTGCTGGCCTCGGTGGCCTTCCAAAACCGCGCTGGACGCCGTGGGGAGGCCTCGAGAGCCGCAGGGGTGCTTCTGGCTCGCCCACGGAACCGAGGGAGGGGCGGGAGTGCGTGCGACGGAACGTGTTGTTGGGGGTGCAGGGCTGTTGTAGGACTTACATAACCTCGCTGGGGGAAAGGATACCCATACCGTTAAGTCGGGCCTGTCCTTCTACAGGAGGAATATTCAAACATAGTGAAGATGATATGGGGACGTTTGTTTACATATGTTTTGACCTTGTGGGGATATGTTTAACACTATTCTGAATGTTTCATCCAAAGAGCCCTTGTAGGGAGGCACGCCCGACTTGATTGTAGGACTTACAGAGCCCCGGTGGAGGAAAGGATACCCATACCGCTACTCTTCCCCCATTTTCACGTGCTTGGGCCTCCTCGGAGGCCCTCGTCGCCACCGCTGGATTCGACTCGGAATGCTGCTCAGAAGGCACCCCGTGGAGAGGTTTGGGGAGTACAGCCAGGGCCCTGAAGAAAGAACCCTTTTCGTTGGGGAGGGGCTCCGCGTTCCTTAAGTGTTTCACAGCTTGCCTCAGGCTTTCCTTATGTTTTCGACAGGAAGTCGAAGGTCAACCTATGGAAAAAAGGGGCCTCGTTCCTTA